GGCCGACTCAGTGATCAGCCGTAAAACCGTGATTCTGTCCAAATTCCCTATAAAATCTCAAATGATTCCCTTTGAGCTAAATTGACCTGTTTCCCTTACAACTGCGACCGTTGCGTACATCAACCGACAAGGTGGTCTACGCTCTCATCGCAACTCGCCCGCCACCTCAGCATGTACTAGTCCGCACGGACAACACAGCGACCGTTGCGTACATCAACCGATAAGGTGGTCTGCGCTCCCGTCGCATGTCGCAACTCGCCCGCCACCTCCTCCTCTGGAGTCAGAAGCATCTGAGGTCGCTTTGGGCCATTCACATTCGGGGCCTGCACACCCATGTAGCCGACGAGCTGTCATGAGCTGCGCTTCCCGGAGAGTGGAGACTCCATCCCCAGACGGTCCAGCTGATTTGGAGACGTTTCGGAGCCGTTCAGGTAGACCTGTTTGCCTCTTCAGAGACCTCTCACTGCCAGCTGTTTTACTCCCTGACCGATGGAACACTCGGCACAGGCGCACTGGCACACAGCTGGTCGCGGGGCCTTCGCAAGTATGCGTTACCCCCAGTGAGCCTTCTCGCACTGATGCTGTGCAAGGTCAGGGAGGACGAGGAGCAGGTCCTGTTTGTGGTGCCGTATTGGCCTACCCGGACCTGGTTCCCAGAACTGAGGCTCCTCGCGACAGCCCCTCCTTGGCCGATTCCTCTGAGGAAGGATCTACTGACTCAGAGATGGGGCACCCTTTGGCACCCGCGTCCAGACCTCTGGAAACTTCATGTCTGGTCCCTGGACGGGACGCGGAGGTTCTAAGTGGCCTACCCCAAGGGGTAGTTGACACCATCACTTCAGCGAGGGCACCGTCTACGACACACGCCTACGCTTTGAAGTGGAACCTGTTCGTTGAGTGGTGTTCTTCTCGCCGAGAAGACCCCCAAAATATGCCTGATCAGAGTCGTGCTGTCCTTTTTGCAGCAAGGGTTGGAGCAAAGGCTGTCTCCCTCCACCCTTAAAGTTTATGTCGCTGCAATCGCTCCTAACCACGACCCCGTAGAAGGGCGGTCGCTGGGGAAGCATGACCTGGTCGTCAGGTTCCTTAAGGGGGCGAGAAGGCTAAATCCTCCACGGCCCCCCTCTATACCCTCTTGGGACCTGACTCTAGTGCTCACAGCACTACAGCAGGGCCCATTTGAGCCTTTGCAGACGGTTGAGCTGAAGTTCCTCTCAATGAAGACTCTGCTCCTGCTGGCATTGGCCTCCATCAAGAGGGTAGGGGACCTGCACGCATTTTCGGTCAACGATTCGTGCCTAGAGTTCGGGCCGGCTGACTAACCGACTAACCTGACTAACTCAGGTAACCCTGAGGCCCCTGCCCGGCTATGTGCCCAAGGTTCCCGCTACTCCCTTCAGGGATCAGGTGGTGAACCTCCAAGCGCTGCCCTCGGAGGAGGCAGACCCAGCCCTAGTTTTGCTCTGTCCCGTCCGAGCCTTAAGGGGCTACGTTGACCGGACGCAAAGCTTCAGGACCTCAGACCAGCTCTTTGTCTGTCACGGAGGCCGGCAGAAGGGGAATGCCGTCTCTAAGCAGAGGATGGCCCACTGGATAGTGGATGCCATCACCCTGGCTTATCAGGCACAGGGTGTGCCCTGCCCGTTCAGGTTGCGAGCTCACAAAAAAAGAGGTGTGGCATCCTCCTGGGCGCTGGCTCGTGGCGCCTCGCTGGCAGATATCTGTAGAGCTGCGGGCTGGGCGACCCCTAACACATCCGCTAGATTCTATAACCTGCGTGTGTAGCCAGTA